ATGGTGGTTGCCAGAGTATAGGGAGTGGGGGAAATGGCGAGATGTTGGTCAAAGGGTACAAACTCCCAGCTATAAGATGAATAAGTTCTGGGGATCTAATGTACAGCATGGTGACTATAATTAACAATACTGTATTAACAACTTGAAAGTTGTTAAGAGAGTAGATCTTAAATGTTATCACCACACACACACAAAAAAAGGTTATTATGTGACGGGATGGAAGTGTTAACTAACATTGCGGTAATCATTTTGCCTTATATATGTGTTATCTAATCATCACATTGTACACCTTAAACTTACATATGTAATATGTCAATAATATCTTAAAACTAGGAAAAAATAAAACGAGTGGTTAAAGGAGTAATAAGGTGATTTTGAGCAGAAACCAGAAGTGAGGGAACAGACCACAGGAAAAGAGAGCTCCAGATACAGGGAGCTGTTCAGTGCAAAGGCCCTGCGGTGGGTGTGTGCTTGGCACATTCAAGGCACAGTAAGAAGCGAGCGGGAGAAGGAGGGGTGAGGAATACAGGAGAGAGTTGGCAGGGACATGATTGTGTAGCACCTACCCCCACTGATGTTCAAAGACAACCACAAACCCAACCCAACACACACACATACACAGTCATGTGCTGCATAACAACATTTAGGTCAATGACAGACCACGTATATGACGGTGGCCCCATAAGATTAGCACCATATAGCCTAGGTGTGTAGTAGGCTACACCACCTAGTTTTGTGTAAGTACAGGCTATGATGTTCGCACAATGACGAAATCGCCTAACAACTCATTCCTCAGAGCGTATCCTCGGCGTTAAGCGACGCATGACTGTACTGTATACTCATATAAAGCACTGGGGCTTGGGAGTTGGGGGTGGCTGTTGTTTACAAAAATGGCATCATGCATATATTAAAACTGGCCTTTCTCACTTAACATACCATAGGCATTTTTACAAGTCAATAACACGGATTAGGGGTAGGCAAACTTTTTCCGCAAAGGGCCGGTTAATAAATGTTTCAGGCTTTGCAGGCTGGACAGTCGCTGTTGCAACTACTCAACACTGCTATTGGGGCTTAAGTGCGGTGGAGACAATATGTAAATGAGTGTGCGTGCGGTGTTTCAATAGAACTTTGTCTACAAAACAGGTGACAGGCCAGATTTGGCCTGGGGCCATAGTTTGCAGACCTGTTGTTGTCAAATAGGTTGGTCCTCTTGTTTGTCAAATAGATTTCTAGGAGTCAGGTAGCTGGGCCAAAGGCTTGTGAATTTTCTGTTTGTAGATGGACCACTGCCTCCTTGAAACCCTTTCCTCTCTTGGCTTCTTTGACACTGTATGCTCTTAGTTTCTTTCCCTACCTCTTCCACCACTCCTTCCCAGTCTCCTTTCCTGTTAAATTTCAGAGTCCCTGTGGTAGGTAGAATAATGCCTCCTCCCAAAGATGTCCATGTCCATGTCCTAATCCCCAGAATCAGTTAAGGGGCAAAAAGGACTTTGCAGATGTGATTACATCAGGATCTTGAGATGGGGACATTATCCTGGATTGTCTAGGTGGGCCCAATGTAATCACAAGGGCCCTTATAAGAGGGAGGCAGGAGACTCAGCATCAGAGAAGGAGATGTGACAATGGAAGCAGGGGTCAGGGTCAGAGTGATAGGATGTAACAAGGTCTCAACCAAAGTTAACGGCTTTGAAGACGGAGGAAAGAACCACAGCCAAAGAATGCAGACAGTCTCTAGAAGCTGGAAAACACAAGGGAACAGATCCTCCTCAGAGCCTCCAGAAGGAGCGCAGCCCTGCTGACACTGATTTTAACCCAGGGAACCATTTCAGATTTCTGACCTCCAGAACTGTAAAATAAAAAATTGGTGTTGCTTTAAGCCACTAAGTTGGCGGTAAATTGTCACAGCAGCCATAAGAATTATATACAGGAATTAATACAGTCCCCCAGAGTGTAGTTCTGAACTTTCTTCTGCTCTCCATCTAAATTTACTCTTTTGGGGTTTTCATCCAGTTTGTGACAAACTCACAAATTTATATCTCTGGTCCACTCTGTGCATTTCTTCCACTTGACACTAATAGATTTTATTTTTTCATAGGTTCTTAACCCAAGCATTTTAGCAGGCGTATGCTTGGATACTGTAGGCCCAAATCCATGTACTCAGTAAGAAAAAAAATTGCATACTCACAGTGAATCATACTCTAATCGTTTCCTCGGCATGTTGCTCAGATAATACCAGATATTTAAATAGTTCAGTATATCCCCACTCTTCTTGAGTGTTAAAATCTCATTTTTCTTCCACTTCTGGTTGAAAACTCTGGTTAATCCTTGAATACTTAGAACACAAGTGAAGCCCGTTCTGAGCGTCACACATCCCCTCACTGTCAAAAGCAATACGTCAGGGGGCAATTCTGAGCCTCAGCAGATATTTGTCAACGTGTGAGGACGTTTTTGGTTGTCACAACTGTGGGAGGGGGAGAGCTACTGGCATCTAGTGAGTAGATGCCAACCACGGATGCTGCTAAACATCCTACCATGCACAGGACAGCGCCACAATGAGGCATTATCTGGCCCCAAATGTCAACAATGCTGAGGTTAAGAAACTCTGTCTAGATGACTCCTGAACAGATGTTTTTCAAGAAGCATTTGGATTAGCTCAGCAACGCTGAAGCCAACACCCCAGTTGGAATGTACTTTTAGTGTGATGGCCTCAGAGGATCTGCCAATCATCTGATTCACACTTCTTTCAAACTCTGTCACTCTGTCACTGACAATTTCCACTTCTGAATTCCGTTTCTGGAGCGACTCCTGATATAGTCACTCCACCCCACGTAAACCTACTTGAGTTGCCATATTCTTCCAACATCCATTCAAGATGACAGCTTCTGGAAGGCTAAATTTTTCAGACATAAGACAGCAAAACCTATCAGAATCCAGTTTACACCCCCTTCCAATCACATGGTGCTTGGGAAATTCTTTTGGTTTCCAGCTACCATATGTAAGAATATCCACTGGATTGAAAACCACAACTGTGCGCTCTGGAGCATCCTTTACAATTTGAGTAATTACAAATTCGAAGTTATTAACTCTCATCTGGATCAGACTGAAGCAACTCTCCCTCTCTTGCTGACAGACTCCTGCAGTTACCTCCACAATTTTAGAATGAGCAGTGGGGTGATCTTTCTCTGCCACAACTGTAGATGTCTAAAGAAATGAGCTATCATGCTGTACACCCATCATTTCTCCTTGGAGTTGTTCTTCCAAAATATCACCAGAGGTCATTTAGATCATCAGCACGACTCCACAGAATTCTGATGGCCCAACGCTCCCTTCAATAACGATATTTGAGACCGTTTACTCTTCAGTAGTCGATGCCATTGGGCTTTTTCGTTAAGAGTAACCGTTGTTGGGCTCTGGGGAAAGAGAGGTGAGAGGGAGTGAAGGACCATGTCAGTTGCATCTTTCTCTTTGGGCAAATGAATTGCAAGGAGAGAGGAGGCAACACCCCACTCCCTACAAGCATTCGTTAATAAGCACCACCCCGTTACCCTCCCAAAGGTAATGTTCAGTCCCACCAACACTGTATGGGTGCCATTTCTTGGTTCACCTCTTGCCAATAATGAATTTTAACAAATTTTAAAACATTTACAACTTGATGAGTAAAATAATGTTACCACATTGTTGAATTCCCCTTTCCCTCGTTACTATATTTCACGATTTTTTTTAAAAGATCCACCAATATATTTTATTTATCTAGCTTTAAGCACAGACAGTATAACTTCTACCACTAGATGCCAGTATTAACACTCCCCCTCCCTCAGTCGTGACAACCAACAAGCCTCCAGACTTTGCCAAATGTCCTCTTGGGGGCAAAATCGCCCCCCTTCAACCAGAAGCTGAAGAATATCAAGGCTGCGCAACTCAAGAGCCGGAATACGTATATGGAGATACTTCAACAGCCAGTATTACCTCTGTGACACTCCTTCCTCTCTCAGGTTCTGGGACACCGTGCTCCCCCGGTCTTTTCCTCACCTCTCCTTTTCTGTACTTAAGTTTCAGAGTACTCCAGGGTCTTCTCCTCTCCACTTAAACTTACTCCTTTGGGGTTTTCATCTAGTCCTCCAGCTTTAAATGGCTCTCTAGTGAGAAAATAAAAAATGTATACTCCTGCCACATAGATAAGGTGCTTTCCAAACCAATGGGGGAAGGGATGGAGTTCAGACAACGGACTCGCCATATGGGGGAGAGAGAAAGCGCACCTCTGTAGGGGGGCTGCCAGGTCTTGCTCAACTTTCTTGGGCCAGAGGCCGCGGCCGCGTTTCCTTTGTGAGCGCCCACAGGGAGCGTGGGAGTGCCATGCACGCCCCAGTCTACAGGTGATCCCAGCTGCCAGCGCTCCACAGCAGACCCACGGAGCGAGAGCGGCACGTGCAGGGAGGCGGTGCAGGCTGACGCCGGCCGCGAGACCGCGAGGGAGAAAAGCCGGCAGGGCTGTGCGCTCGCAGCGCGACGCCGCCGGGTCACCACCTCGGAGCGCAAACCTCGCACTCCGTGAAATGGGCTGATCAACTGTGTCCGAGAGCGCGCTCCCCTCCAGGCTGAACGCGAGCCGATAGGTGGAGGAAATTCGCAGTTTCCTTTTAAGAGACCAATCAGAGACCACGGAGATCTATTGCGACAACCTCAAGAACCAATGAAAAGCGGGGATTTTCCTAGCCGGCCCCCGAGGCGCCAGTCCCGGAGAGATCAAGCACAGGAAGTTTCCTAGAAGGTACAAATTAGACGACAAGCCCGCAGAGGGACGACGGGATACTCCGTTGTCAAAGATGGGTGGAGAAAATTCTCTGAGCGAGTAAGACCGCACCGCCGCGAAGCCTCGCGGGCGGTGCACCCGCAAGTCAACCTCGAGCCCAGGGCTCTGGCGGGGGAGGCTGCGTGCTGCGCGCTGACGTCACGCGCCAGCCCCGCCCCCGGCCGCCCGCCCTTATAGCGTAGCCCTGGCGCGCGCGCACCATTGTGTGGCTGGACTCGGCCGCCGCTGCGGTGTGAGGCGCGTGTTCGGGCTCTCGCCGTCCCCGCACCCGCACCGCGGCTTCTGCCCTGTGGCCAGCTGTTCGACAGCCAGCCTTCGGGCCCCCCGCCCGCCTCGGACATGCCGCGCGTCTACATAGGACGCCTTAGCTACAACGTCCGGGAGAAGGACATCCAGCGCTTTTTCAGTGGCTATGGCCGCCTCCTCGAAATAGACCTCAAAAATGGGTGAGTCGGGCTTGGGCGCCCGCGTCTGTCTGCAGCGCCCTGGGCCTGGCGGCGGCGGGACCCGCCAGAGGGAAGAGGCGGCCAAGGCCGCGTCGCCGCGTGGCAGGGCCTCCAAGATGGCGGCGGCGTGGGCCCGCGGGAGCGCGCGGGGGCGGCGGGAGCGCGCGCGTGCGCGCCGCCGGGCTAACGACGCGCCTCCCCCAGGTACGGCTTCGTGGAGTTCGAGGACTCCCGCGACGCCGACGACGCCGTTTACGAGCTGAACGGCAAGGAGCTCTGCGGCGAGCGCGTAATCGTGGAGCACGCCCGCGGCCCGCGCCGCGACCGCGACGGCTACAGCTACGGAAGCCGCAGTGAGTCCTGCCCCCGCGCGCTCCGCGTCCTTGGGACCCTGCGGGGCGGGCGCAGGCGCGGGGTGGGGCCTCCCAGCCCGGGCAGGCGCGGGGGCCGGGTCGTTTGACGCGGGTGGTCCGGGCTCCGCTGCCCTCACGCCTGCCCGGGGCAGCCACGGGACGCCGGAGCGCGGGGATTGGGTCGTGGGTTTTGCCTAGCCAGGGTTTGGGTGTTTGGGGGGCTTTGTGCTAAGTCGGGAGGGGGTGGTTTCTGCTGGGCCCCTGTCAGCACTGTCGTGGCCCCAGCCCACGGGGGAAGTGAGGGGTGGCTGTATTTGTTGTATCTCCCTTGCTTACCTGACAGTGCATTAGCTGGAAATATGAATGTGTTAGCGTAGAAGTTTGGGGGCAGGCGGGGTGGGGGTGGAGGTGGAGGCGGGGCGGGGGCGGGGAAAGGGGAGGAGTTTTTAAGTATGGGGCTTAGAGTTATTAAAATTGACGGGGGCCAAAGAAAATACTATTTTGAAGTACTGTGGTCTTGAACCACAAAGTAATATTCATAAGCTTTATGCTGTATTTGAACTAGTTGGGGCATGTTTTTGGGAGGAGGTGGGGGGACTTTTGGTTATGTTAAATGTTTGATGTTGAAATTGTTGCATGTTGAATTCAAACTTTTTAACAAGTCCTTGATGTTTCAATTTGAAAGTGACCAATGGGGCTGAGGCTGTGTCCACTGAGGCTAAGATGACTGCCTTTCCTGATTGGCCTTGGCTTTTCCATACATTGTGTGACCCTTGCCCTATGACCCTTTGGCTGACCTTACCGGAAGCCATGACGACAGCAGCCTTTTGCCATTAGACGCAGGGTGATGGTGAGGATTCCAAGGGTTAGACAAAACTGGTTAATCTGAACTAGGTGACTGTTACCTTGCGTGTTTTGTGGCCAAACCACCACCAAAAACCTCACACTGTGATGTAAGTACTTAGTGTAACTAGTAAACATTTTTGTAAAATGTAGAAATGCATGTAATCAGTTAAGTTTTATATTTTACAATGTTCTGTAAAATAAAACTTAGCGAGGTAAATTGAATAAAGGAGCAGTCACTCTCTAACAGATTGTAGGAGAAGTTTAGTTGGATTTAGTCTGTTTGACTTGCCCTTAATTTAATTTATGGCAAATCACAACTGTATCGGAGGTTTAGCAATATAATAGCAAAGTCCTACTCCAGTAAATAAAAGTTAATATGTTTGTACTAACTTTTCAAAAGCATTATGCATCCCTATCATTACAAAGCATCTAATTGTTCTCTTCGTGTGATAAAGGTGGTGGAGGGGGATACAGCAGTCGGAGAACCTCTGGCAGAGACAAATATGGACCACCTGTTCGTACAGAATTCAGACTTATTGTAGAAAATCTTTCCAGTCGTTGCAGTTGGCAAGATTTAAAGGTATGTGCTATAATTCAAGATAAAAATGATGTGACTAATGTATAAAAGGTAGGCTCCTATTTGCTTTTTTATTTCTGAGAGTCAGGTACTGCATGTAGATCTTCTGTCTTTAGGTTTCTGGGTCTCATCCATCTTGTTGCTCTTTTAGGATTTCATGAGGCAAGCAGGTGAAGTAACCTATGCGGATGCTCACAAAGAACGCACAAATGAAGGTGTGATTGAGTTTCGGTCCTACTCGGACATGAAGCGTGCTCTGGATAAACTGGATGGTACAGAAATAAACGGCAGAAATATTAGGCTCATTGAAGATAAACCACGAACAAGCCATAGGCGGTCTTACTCTGGAAGCAGATCAAGGTAACTTGTTGAAGGATATGGAGTGGGGAGAAACAGAATATTTGCCAAGAACAAAGAAAAAATCAAAGGGCAATATTTCAATTAATGCTTAAGTGAAATTAGGTCAGTTCTTATGTTTTTGGTTGTGTCTGACTGGGTTCTTTTCCAGATGTTTTGATAGTGGGTTTAATTTGTAGTAAGTGATTACGTTTTTTGTTGGTTTGTCTATTGTTTTTCATAAGTTCTACAAACATTCACATTGAGATGTATTGAGATTGAAATTTTATCATTTCTTGTCATAGGTCACGGTCTAGAAGAAGGTCACGAAGTAGGAGTCGCAGAAGCAGCCGCAGTAGATCTCGAAGTATTTCGAAAAGTCGCTCCCGGTAAATAATGTGCTGTAGATGTTTTTCTGAATGTTACTATACTTGTTTATGTAATATTTGTGTGTTCTAGCAAGGTATTGAAAAAAATTTGGTTTTTCTTGTCCAGATCCAGGTCTCGGAGCAAAGGTCGATCACGTTCTCGATCAAAAGGCAGGAAATCTAGATCAAAAAGCAAATCTAAGCCAAAGTCTGGGGGCTCCCGTTCGCGCTCTCGGAGCAGATCTAAAGATGAGTATGAGAAATCTCGAAGCAGGTCTCATTCTCGATCTCGTTCCCCCAAAGAAAATGGAAAAGGTGATATAAAGTCAAAATCTAGATCAAGGAGCCAGTCTCGTTCCAATTCACCCCTCCCTGCTCCACCCTCAAAGGCTCGTTCTGTGTCCCCTCCACCAAAAAGAGCTTCAAGATCCCGTTCTAGATCTCGTTCAAAGTCAAGGTCACGGTCCAGATCAAGTTCCAGAGATTAACCCAGAACTCTGTTCTTTGCACACTATTACAGAACACTTTCCTACTTGCTTAGGCAGTTACTGTTCCGTGTTTGTATTTGGCCTCTTCTACAAGAGGAATCTTCTGAAAATAGGGGCACACAGAAATTTAATTTGAGGCCAAATTTGATGAAAAAAGATGAGGTTCTAAAGAAATGGTGGCATGAAGTCAAAGACCCTCTCCCTTCTTTGTAGAATTAAGATAACTTTGATTTTATAGCTTTTGAGCTAAAATAACTTTTGTAAAGATTAAGCTCATTTAGATTTTTTTTTAAGTATTTCAGCAGGATCTGCTGCAGGGGTTTTGTTGTTTATTTGTTTATTTGTTTGCTTTTAAATTAACCGTTTCAAGCTTTGAATACTTAAGGCTTTAGAGGGAGAACTTGGTCTTCAATTATGTTGGCTTTTTATAAAGCTTGAGTTATGTAAGATTTCAATAAAAGTTTGCTACCAAGATGATTGCCTTATTGAATAGGTCACTATTAAATTTAAATATTGAAAATTTGTTTTTTGTGGAAACAGTGTAAAAGTCTACTTATGTGTAAAACAAAGCAAGCCTCAGACCAGCAATAAATCAGTCAATTTGGATAACATCATTTTGTGCTGTTAATCAAATTTTCCAAAGTCATATCTGCCCCTTTAACAAGCTAAGTTAAAAATAAAAGGTATTTTCCAGTCAATCTGTTATCCAATTTTGCCTAAATTACTAGATTTTAAATAATGAAACTTTTTTCAAACTTAAATTTGATTGAACTCTTCAAGAAATGGTTCCTAATACTTGGGATCTAGTTTAGCTTGGTAATCCCACTTTCTGGAAGTGGTCAGTGTAATGAGTGTTTTGTTAGAGTATGGTTCAATGGTCTTTAATGTTTGTTATGTAAAAATGGAAGTAGCCTTTCTTTGGTCAGAAATTTAATGTTTTCTTGTTAAAATGGAAAAGCAAATATTGCATTTTCTGCTGGAAGATCATTATATTTAACAGGCACTTAACAGATCACTTGGTAAAATTAGTTAACAGTAAAAGTAAAATTCCATCCAACAATCAATCCCATTTGTAGTTAGTGGGGTTCTGTGATAATTGGTTAGGGCATCCTTGTAAACTTGACAATATGCGGTTGGTTTGAAAAAAATTTAAATGGCTAAACCCTCAACTTTTTGTACCTTAACATGAATGAAGTGTAATGAATACTTTGGAAACCAAATTATACTGCAAATTTGTGGGAGTTACTCAGTTACCAATTAGTCCATACATCCATAATCCTAATTAGTTGAGATTGCAGTTTGAGAAATGAGTCACCTCATATCTCTTTGTTTAGATAGTTTAAATAAAGTAATTTCATTTAAAAGCACTCATTAACCTTAGTCTGATGTCAGGATGTAAGTTATTTGGCTCGGCTTTAGCATCTTCCTAGGAGCTGTGACTATGACAGGTGTCAAGGGCTGGGTTGTGCTAGGGCCTGGTGGTACGCTGCTCATTGTGCCACAGGTGTGACTAGAAAGCATAATGATCTAGAGTTGGTAAATTGAAATAATCCAGAGTCATAGCTAATAAAACGAGGCTGTGTGGAAAAATGGAGTCCAACATTTAGCTGTCACAGTCACCAAGAAGCTGGGAATACTTGGTAATGAGTAAAAAGACTTGTTTTTAAGAAATTTCTGGGCTTCTTGTTACATAATCTTGGAGATACAGTGCCCCAAAAGGTTGGTGCTTCTTTCATGACCTTATTTTGTTTACTTTGATAACTTCTTTTTTTACTTACACATGTTTACACATGTTTATAAGAAATGGGGTTTTTTTTCCAATATAAACTTCAGACTTTGAGAGAAGAAACTGGTGTCTGCAACTATAGTTGGTTATTTTGCCTATTTAGAACAGAAGTTATGACTTCTATGAAGAGGCAAGCCTCCACTGCCTTTCAAAATGTGGTGTTTAAGGACAAGTTAGTTTGAGAATTGGCTTTGACCAAAGTTGTCTTGTTTTCAGGGAGAGAACAAAAGCTTTTAAAACCACAGCCTTTTAAAAAGGAAGGAGCGGGGAATGTTAGGATGTGAAATTCGGCTTTCTAAAAGCAGGCGACATCCTTCACTGGGCTTTCTTGTGTTAATGGTATATTGTATGGTAGTAGGCAGGTTTGTCCACATCGCTCACTGCCCTGGTAGTGGCTAATTGTGTAGATAAATGCCTGGACCCAATTTTCTAGTAATAGCAAAGACCAGCTTATTAAAAATCTAGTCCTATCCACGCCTGTGGACCTATGTCATTGGATATGGTAAACCGTTTTATAACACTGGCCCACTTGAGAACAGAATAGACTGATAAAATGTTTAGTTGCTTGCTAACTTAAGGTAGAATCCGAGAGTCTCTACAACATGCCGCATGTTCATCTGTGGCTAGGAGTATTAAGCTGATAGAGAGCAAAATAGAAGTGAGCAATATCTTGACTCCCTTTCTTTTACCTGATAGTGTTTATTGAGATGCCATAGTGCCTTTATGGCCAGTTTGGGTCCCACCTGTTCCTGTGACTTACGTTCCACTCCTCCTGTGTTGTTACCACCTCTCATCTTGATACTTTCTTTCTTCCACTTTGTTAACCTGTTTTATGCTTTATGTCCTCAATAAAATGCTTACTGAGGGAAAGGCTTGTTTTGAATTTGTTGTGTATTCCCACTTAGTGCCAGATATTTGGCAAATGGTTTTTTGAATTGGAGTTGCCATTGGTCAGCCATTCCTGACTTGAGTATGACAAAAAGGTCTTGTTTCTGGTTCTTCAGAAACATGAGTATAGGATCAACATAGTAGATGGTTTATCTTGGGCAAGTCATTAACCTTTGTGCCTCAGTGTCATCCATGAAATGATAAGGATAAACCTTCATGAATTGGGAAGATTTAAGGTTAATATGTGAAAAGTACTTAGAGTAGATAATAGATACTATCTGCTATCATGAAGGATTAAGCATACTAAATCTTTTTTGTATTACTCTGCTTTATTTTATTTTATTTTTTTTAAGATTTTATTTATTTTATTTTTTCCCCCCAAAGCCCCAGTAGATAGTTGTATGTCATAGCTGCACATCCTTCCAGTTGCTGTATGTGGGACTCGGCCTCAGGATGGACGGAGAAGTGGTGCCTCGATGCGCACCCGGGATCCGCACCCGGGATCCGAACCCGGGCCACCAGCATTGCAGCGCGCGCACTTAACCACCAAGCCACAGGGCCGGCCCACTCTGCTTTATTTTCACATAAAATTTACCTGTTTTTATCTTGTAGTGGTTTGAACATTTTCCATGACAGTTATTTCTCAGATAAACTAGGAAGCCTTAATCATCTTTTCCAAGTCCTTAACCTGATTTCCTTGATTTAGACTTGGAGCAATTTATGCTTAGGAACTATCACATTTTTATTATTTACCTTTCAGAAAGCATAGTTTCCTGACTTCATCCAGTTTCTATGGTTGCACCCAGTTTCAGTCCTGTGACAATGGAACGTTTTGTTTCTTAAGTTCTGATTTAATTTTTATTACAAAGTAATATGTAGTGGAATATAAATTTTCTCTCTCTTAGAGACCACTTACTAAGGTGGCTGCTATTAACAGTATCTATATCTGCTTGGCCTCTATAATGCCTGTGCCCTTAATAAGCTGTGCATACCATGAGTAGTGTTCTGCAACTTGTTTTTACTTAAAATACGCTAATACAGAGATCTTTCACTTTAAATGGCTGGGTAGTATACTATTAAAGGATGTGTAATACATTTTTTTCAGTACTAGCTTTTTTTTTCAAGTAGGCTTTTGGCTTTTGTGACAACATGAATAAAAAAATTACTCGCAATATTCAAATACCATACAATGAAAATATATATTTTAGAGCTCTTACACAGTTTATTACCTAGTAATTATCAATTCACACATGAAATTTTGAGCTCTTTGAGGCAGTGACCACATCTTGAATAAGAGATCTTTTTTGTATCCCTAACACCATATATGCTTCCATTTGCTAATGGGATGAGTTGATGCAGTTGTGTAATTGGTCTTCTACCTCCTAAATAGCTTGTTTAGATTTGCCTGGCTATCTTATAGCAACCCCACAGATGGGCCCCCAGTATAGTACTTAATAAAGTAATTAATTTTTTTAATAGAAAGGAATCGTAGTTCAAAAATCAGAAGATAGATATAAAAGAGTAATACAGTGAATTCCACCTTTGATCCCTTGAGGAAACCAGGATTACTAGGTTCCTATGCATCCTTCTGGAGATGCAAATCTAGAACAATTCACGTTCCCCAGGTAGTTTCCTTATAGTTGATTTGAATTTTACAAAGGCAAGTGGTATTGAGTGTTATAGCTTACGCTAGGAAGCTCCTATTTTATTTGTTAAATTTATGCTATTCACTGTTATCATCTGTATATTTACACCCATTTTCAAGATCATTTCTAGGGAATTCATTATGTTATTAGCATGAGGATTTATAAGCAGAGGCAAACTTTAAATCCTGGTTCAGTTTCTAACAGCTCTAAAACTTTAAAACAAGATACTCGATTTCCTCTTAAAACGTGTATTTCCTAGGAACAGGGACATTTTCTAATATAACTAGGGTATCTAATTATCAAAACCAGAAAATTAGCATTGATATAATACTGTTGTCTAATCCGTAGTCCATATTTATATTTCGTCAGTTGTCCTATAACGTCCTTTATATTTATTTTTCCATTGGTCCAGGATCACTTGCTGCTTTTTGTTGTCATGGCTCTTTAGTCTCCTTTAATCTGGAGCAGGTCCTCGGCCTCTTTCTTGACATTGTCATTTCCTAATAGCAAAGGATAGCTATTTTGTAGAATTTCCCTCAGTTTGGGTTTGTCTGATGTCTCCTCATGATTGCATTTTTGGCAGGAATATCACAAGAATGAGACTCTGTCCTCAATGCATCATATCTAGTAGCACATTGTAGTAATAACCTGGATCACTTATAAAGTCACTTTTCCCCTTTATAATCAGTAATTTGGAGGGATAACTAGAGTCTGTTAAATACCCAGTTCTTTATCAAACCATCACCCACTGTTAACATCTATTGTTGATTTTCTAAGTTTTATTCATTGGTATTCTACTGTAAGGAAGTGCTGTCTGTAGGGGATAGACTGTTTTAAAGGTAAGGTCAAAAGAAGGGGTTTTGTTTTTAGGAGGGGAGGGAGCCAATCATTTTGGAGTTTGAGAAAGAGTGGCTGAGGGAGAGCTTTGATGGTACTCAGATTGTGCTCCATGACCACTGAAAGCAAGAGAGTGATTACCCTAGCCCGGGGCCAAAGAGGAAGTGAGAAGCAACTTTGAGGTAGATGAGAGGAATATGCAATAGGAAATAAGCTGTGTCCTCATCTATAAACAGTGCCTTCTAATATTATGGGGAGTAAATGCTATTATCGAAGCACTTGGCACAGTCACTCATTATAGTAGCTGCCTTCACTGAAACATTCTATAAATAGAACAGTCAAACCCTAATACTGCTCCAGCCAATTGAGAAAGAGGTGGGCAAAGCAGGGTTGCTGAATGTGGGCCTCAATTCTTAGAGTAATATCCACTACTCCTATTTTCTCATCATTCATGAACGGTCTTGAATGTACTATTTAAATACATTGCTGTTAACTTTTATTATACAAAATTTCAAACACCAGCTAGAGAGTAGTATGATGAACCTCCCATGTACTCAAACCAGCTTTCACAATATCTGTGTTCCTGTCCACTTCCTTTCCAGATAACTTGGAAGGAAGTCCTAGACATTTCAGCTGAAGATAGTTCAGTGTATACCTCTGAAAGACGTCTTAAATCTCCTTAATCTGTAGGGTCCCCTATTTTTCCCCTTACAGTATATTTTGTAAAAGTCACTGTTGAGTAGAGTTTCCTAGTCTTGATTTTGCTGATTGCATTCTCATGGTGTCATTTAGTGTGTGCTTCTGTCCCCTGCATTTTCTGTAAGTTGATAGACCCAGAGCAGTTGTCCCCAAAGTGTGGCTCCTGGACCAGTAGCATCAGCATCTGGGAACTTCTTACAAATGCAGTTTCTCAAGTCCCACCCCAGGCTCACTCACTCAGCAACTGTAGGTGGAGCCCAGCCATAGGTGTTTTAACAAGCCTTCCAGGTGATTCTGGTGCGTGCTAAAATTTGAGACCCATTATTCTAGAGGCTTTATCAGATTGTAATTCAATTTTT